AGCCAACTGCCCTTCTGTGATGGCTGGAAGAAAAGGGGGTTGCTGTGAGCTGTGATGCCATGGCACTCTACCGAGAGCCATAAAGTAAGACTCTGTCTCTACAAAAAAAAAAAAGAGAGAGAGAGAGAGACGTTATCCTAGTGGGAGCACAGAATAGGCATAGATTCATCCCGATGTTCTGCTGTCTGTCCCGCTCTTAACCTTTGGCCCCAGATGATCACTTTGCATTTTCTCTCTCTTAGATATGGCAAGATTGTTTCCACTAAGGCCATACTGGACAAGACCACAAACAAATGCAAAGGTGAGAGATAAGCTATCCTTGGTGACAGATGACACCATAGGTGAAGCCGCCCCCATACTGTTGAGAGTCCCGAGTCCTTAGTGCTGAGGAGGAGTCTCTGAGGTTTTTAGGCTTAAAATATTAATGCATATGTAGATTCTTGGATGACCCAATAGCTAGAGCTGAAAATGCCGTCTGGGGGATGAAGGACTCAAGGCTTGAGGGATGCACAGAACACCTTTGAGTCCCTTGGGCTTAATTAGCCTTTGTGTTTCCCTGCATGGGGCAGTGAAGGTGGGTAAGTGAGACTGTTTCTACTTAGTGAGCAACATAAATTAGGAGGGGTGACTTGATAGGTGTTATTTTCTGAGGCTGGATAGTTTAACTGGGGTTTCGACCAGTTCTGCATGAAGCCGGAGAGTGGAAGGTGGCGATAAGGTGGGGTGGGCCTGGTTTCTCCCCCAGGTACTGACTGTCTGCTCTGGGGAGGCTGTGTTCCCACCGTGCCCAGCATGGGCGGGGCGTGTCTAGGAAAGGAGGAGTGGGTTCTTTTGGACGTATGGAATGGGCTGTTGGTCATTAATAATAATTAATCTGAAACCTCAGATTTCTTGGGGGTGGGGAGAGACAGGATACTACAGGACCTTATTGCCTTGGCATTCTTAGCCACAAAATGGAATAAACCTCAGGGTTGAGGAGCACACGGATAACCACCTGAAACCTCTTACTTTCTCTTTCTCCCTACCACTTCTGTTACACGGATTATAACTCTGCTCTGTCTCCTGAAACACCTGGGCCTCCTACCGCCCTTGCACCTCTTAGCCACTTGAGCCACAGGTGCTGAGCCTACCTTATTTCTTGTAATCATGTTTTTTGCTTTTTGGGTTTTTTTTTTTTGCAGTTTTTGGCCAGGGCTGGGTTTGAACCCACCACCTCCAGTATATGGGACCAGTGCCCCACTCCGTTGAGCCACAGGTGCCACCCTCTTGTAAGCATTTTTGGGAGATAGGTTTATATCAAAGGTAGCATTTTTTTTTCTGCACTTTTTGGCTGGGGCTGTGTTTGAACCCGCCACCTCCATCATATGTGGCCCGTGCCCTACTCCTTTGAGCCATAGGCGCCGCCCCAAAGGTGGCATTTTTAATTCATTTCTTTTTTGTTGTTATTAAGGTGTGAACAAGAAAAGTTATCCTAGCCAGGCATTGTGGCAGGTACCTGTAGTCCCAGCTACTTGGGAGGCTGAGGCAAGAAAATCACCTGAGTCTAGGAGTTGGAGGTTGCTGTGAGCTGTGATGCCATGGCACTCTACCGAGAGCCATAAAGTAAGACTCTGTCTCTACAAAAAAAAAAAAGAGAGAGAGAGAGA